TCCTTCGCCAAAGCTGTAGGAAGAAAACAGTGTTCTGTATTCTTAATGTAAGTAACTTCACTTCCAGCTCGTTTCTTCCTCTAACCATGGGAGATGGAACACTAGCCACAACTGCCCAGGAGAAAGCCAACATTTTTGCGCATTCATTTGCTGGAAATTTCACTCTGGATTCATCGGGAAAACAACCTCCAAACATAACGCCAATTGACAGTCATATGCCTGAGATAACCTTTCGCCAACGTACTATAAGGAAGATTTTATTGGGTCTCAACACCAACAAAGCTTGTGGCTCCGACGGAATCCCACCGATTGTTCTTAAGAATTATGCTCTCGAACTAACACCTGTTCTCTGCAAGTTGTTCAACTACTCTCACAAATTGGGGATATTCCCGTCCAACTGGAAAATTGCAAGAGCACAACCAGTTCCTAAAAAAGGCAAAAAGACCCTACCTAGCAACTACAGACCGATCGCACTGCTATCTATTATTTCGAAGATCATGGAGAAAGCTATAAACATCGAGCACATGGAATACCTGGAACATTCAAGTATTATCAACGATAGGCAATATGGCTTCCGTCATCAGAGATCAACTGTTGACCTGCTCGCTTACGTCTCACATATATGGCAGCAATCTATTGAAAAATATGGTGAAACCAATTAGTGATTCATGAATTTGAGCACAAAGACAAAGAAATACCGACCTCGTCAGCGGTCTAGCATTTGAATTTCCCGCTATTTCAAATGACGGCGTCAGATCGCCAAAATGAATGATGATGTTTTGGTGAGGTTATTCCTACTTCCACAACAGGTCTCTAGGAAATCGAGCAACATCTCAAAGTAAACAGTGTTAGCCCTGTGTATTTGTGGCCACCAACTAATTTTCCTATTGTAGATTGTAGATTGTAGATGGGTCGTATAGGCTGGGAGACCTCTCGATCACTGCGACCTAGAAGATCTATTGTGATTACCCTTATCTAGTTTTGGTCCTCTAACCCTAGAATTCTGATGAAGCCTATAATTTTCCTGACGGTTGAATTTTCCACCTCAGCAGGGGTGAGATAGACCTGTTCTAGGTGGTTCAGCCTTTGGCGGACTAATACTTCACACGAGCAAAGTATGTGTTCCGCGGTTTTGGTCGTATTGTTACAAAAGCGGCAAGTGTCAGTCTCCGCCAGGCCCATCTTTTTGAGGTGGTACCTCAGAGGGCCGTGTCCTGTGAGAAAGCCTGTGATAAGCTTTTGCTCTGGTTTGCTGAGGCTGAGTAGCTCTTCGGCTCGGTTCTGCGAATGGTTGATGAACCTTTTCGCTTGTCATTGACCTGGAGTTGCTCTCCAGTAGGAGGACTTTTCAATTTCTTTCCATTTCCGGAGTTCTCTTCCTTTGCTCAGGACCAAAAATTGCAGATGCTGCACCTTTTTTTGCAAGGCGATCAGCTGCCTCATTTCCTTTGATTCCTTCATGCCCTGGAACCCACATAAGTGTGACTTTGTTGTCCTTTCCCAGTTGCATGAGTGTTTCAAAGCAGTCCCATGTGAAATTTTCCTGTTACTCGTAGGAGAAGGAAAACTTTTGACCTTTTCTTTGTGAATGAGAACATCAGGGATCGGAAGAGTATTTTGGCTCCACTTCGTGGTGTCCATAATGGACAATCATATTCGATAAATAAGAAAGGTCCTATATAGAGGAGACCGCATGCATATTCGGAAATTTATTAAAACTACGCTAATTGATTGTTAAATTCATCCTCACGATCGGAATCCAATGAAACGGCTAGACAGAACACTCTGTACCTGTATACATTACCCGACAGGCAATATATATACAATGGGAAGTTGTAATTAGTGAAACGTCGTGTTCTATCCGCCTAATGATTGTGTACACTAATGCAACATTGTGTTTCGGTAAATTATTTTATGAGTCAATTTGTTTATACAATCCTTCCTTGCTTCGAAATAATACAATTTTCATGTGGCATATATATAGGTTGGTTTATTATATCATAATCAACGATCACATCATTATTAATCTCACATGTTTTTTAGTGAACAATAACAAGAATTCTACTCGGTGTTTAAAACAAAAATACTTCGAACACGAAACGGTTTCCTTTTATCCTGATTAGAAATGGCAAAGGTCTATACAGATTGGGGATCAAATTTCTGAATCACAAGCGAGTCGACTAGCACTTGAATACTGGAATACTTGAATATCTATCCCGTATATTTGTCATGTTACATGCTGGTCTAATGGGTACAGTAAATTTCGTCAAAAAATATTGATAATCGTATATGGCTACAATTTCTCACTATAATTATCTATATATAACTACTGTTTGTGCTGGTTTGTCTGTTTGTTATCTCAAGTCTTCTACATTATTTTGATTAATTTGGTCTCGTGTATATTCGTTTTCTGTAAAGATATAGTGTCCAATCAGATTTTCATCGACATCTATGTAGAAAGTATAGAAGTTTCTGTACCTATTTTCTTCTTCATATATTATGGTGATTGTCCCACTCTAATATTAGCACAGGATGAAATTGATTCTAATTGATTGATGTAGCAGCTCTATAGTTTTCCTAATACCATCGAAGCTACGTATTTCTCAGTATATTTCAAGGAGATGTTTTAGTAGAGCCTTTTTATATCAAAGCTGTAGATATGTGTATAACAAGTGTATATATTATTATCCTCGATATCATCGCCTTGTGCATGGAGTATTTTAGATAGATAATATTCATAGTAGTATAACGTAATACATTTGAATAACTAAGTATTTGTATTTTTTGAACTCAATGTATCGACAAGTGTTTGGCAAATTCAATCCTAATAATTTTTGTTACTGAAAACTAACATATACGATGATGAGATGAAATATACAGTACGATATGAAGCATTCTCGACAACAAAGATTATTGTATGCGATTCTTGCGTCAAGCTGATTCAATAACAGATTACAGAGGCAATGAGCTGATGAGCTCTCTTAGAGAGTATCGTAAAACTGTCAAGATTCATAGATCATAGAAGTACTAGGACGAACTTAGTTTACCATCTTATGTGAAAGTTGGGTTCCTAGTAAAACACAAAAACCACTGAAAAACTCCACAAAACTCACATGGAGAACTTCATATCCAAAAACCTGAAGTCAAAAGAGGATCGCAGACCTGCTGAAATATATCATTTAAAAAGCTCACTGATGTTTGGTATCTGCATCAATATTTTCTATAATTCGGAAGATGATACTTATAAATGAACTCGAAATAGAATTTCGAATCTTCATCAGCATTCAATGATTTATTCGTAATTGCATCAGAATACAATACAGTAAGGCTGTGTTTCACGGTTCAAAATTTGATCAAACTACAGATCTGTGATGTCATAAGTGACGTCACGTCAAACAGCAGCTGAAATTTACAACTTGTTCTGAATATTTGTCATGTTGGATCAAACAATAAGGTTAGAATAATTGTTTTCATGATTTCTTCGTTGATTATTATTTCATATCTTAGGAATTAACAAGGAATACTATCATTAAAATTATCAATACTTCAAAAATGCCTGTCTTGGTAATTGGACTGAGGACCATTTCGGATAATAATAGGAATATTTTTGTCTAGCTCCAATCCCAAATTTATGCTTGGTTGACTGTTATGATCTCACCTCATTTCTTCAGGTATATATACGTTCACGCGCATAATATATGAATTGATAAAAATCTGAAATATCTCTCATCCATTTTTGAAATTTACTATGGGATATCTTCCAGTCTGACTTTATAACAAATCAACTCCTCTCCCAATATTCATTCAAATTACTTTGTATTACAAATACATAGCACAATAAAATACTTACGATATATAGTGAATCTTCAAATAATTTTTCCTTGTGATTTTTCCCATTTCAGAGAACCTTCTCAACCAATATTTTAGTTCAAAAAACCTTCAAATCGTGTGACAAAGATTTCTTGACGGCCAAACAGGCAAGAATGACGTCACATCAAACAAATTTGATCTAATTGTTGGACCGTGAGACACGGCATGTATAGTACCAAAGAACTGCTGTAGGATGAAATACTTCTTGGCATTATTATTGACAAAATAATCTTGCAATTGCCTAATTGTGAGATGAATCTGTCGATTAAACCTCGATTGCACAAGATTGAATCTTCTCAATATACAATATCTGAGTGAAATCGGAGTGATGATTGGACCATTTGGTAGGAGCTAGAAACTTCTACGCGAACACATACTGAGATGTGTGGGTTTATAGACTCACATGGTTTTCAGTACTCAGTAGTTTTCACCATTACCTGATGTTCTATTGATAGTTGGTGGACATGTTTACATATTTCTACTGCACCGATGGCTTTGATTTACGAGACCTTGACATGACAGAGCCCCCGTTCGCCATTAGACGCAACATGAAAATATAGGCCCCCAGCACAAATAAGAGTACATGTTCTGTACTACCCTAATCTGACCTCGGGTAATATTTAAGGCCCTTATCAACGGCGCATCGTGTATGCAATAAACACGCGATGTGTTTACACTAACCCTTTATGATATTATGCAATTCATTTGGAAAATGGAAAATGCACTCCAATTTCAATGATGCGAAGATAATCTGTAATTGATTGCAAATCAGTAGCTAATCAAGGATGGCGAATGTGTTTGTTAGGGATAGGCTGTTGTAATTGGGATATAAACATGGTTACGTTTTATATTTCACGTTTGTTCGAAAATTGCGGACAATAAAAGTAAGGTGCTTCACATTAGCGATATCTTTGCTGAATTCTCCTATCGATAAAGTAAATCATCAGTGATAAATCTTGATAAAACTTATCGAACGATACAATAAAAGGGATTTGGGTACATTCTGCCAATTTTGATTCTTTTAAAGTGATGAAGAAAGGGGAATACGAGATATGGATGATGGCATTCGGTTGTGAAATAGAGCTATGGAAAAAAATATCACAAGTTGAATTCAATGTTATTTGAATCACTGGTTATTAATGTTTTATACTTTTCCATTATTTTTATCCGATGGCTATTGATGAATGAAAGAATAATGATGATGATCATTCAGACAGGAAATTATTATAACGTACTGGAGTTTATAATTTATATTGTTCAATTCACTTCCATTGAGAGTAAAACCACAGACTACAGTTTTATAATTTGTCACCATGAAATCAACATATTTTTGTAAGTACAATGAATTTCATTAAAATGTACATTTCCTAACTAGATATTGACAATGTGAATATATATGGGGGGAAAAATTCCAATTTTTCAATTGCCATTTGATTTTTACAACAAATAGTTTGAATTTCGAAAATGTTCATGAAAAGGTCCTTGGACTAAATAACTCGACCTCACTTTAACAACATTTTATAGACTCATCAGTGTATAGGTACTCGATGAAGAATCGACTTTATGGAGCATATATCCTTATTGGATGTTGACTTCAAAGGTATAAGGGAGACCTGATAGGTGCATTTTGACACTAGGAGAGGAAAAACAGCTTTATATTTTCCGCCATATATTCAATTCATCGATTCTAGTGCTTTTCTAAAAAGACTCAATAAATATTATCATGGTCTGTGATGCTATGGTGGCCATAGCATCACAGATCGTACAAAGAAGTAAAAACATGTTTTCCTTTATAATCGTGTTTCCTGAGTCTGCAACTATTGGTATCCACAATTCGAAATATCGCATTGAATCAGTAATTTCAATAAAACTACGTACTAATAAGGAATTATTCCAAAACAAGTTTGAGTTATCTTGAAAGAATTGATAGTTTCTTAAGGAAGACGCACTGTCTATTTTGTCCCTAAGCTTAGCCCATATTTTTTTATATCACTGTATTTGTACTGCCAAATCAACAGGCCATGGCCCAGTTACAGACAGACAGTTCCTATCTCGGTTCCTATCCTACAGTAAAATACAATACACGAAAAAAATACAGTACACAGAAATATTACAATACACTCAAGTTTTGGGGAAAACAGTTGAGTGTAGATCAAGACTTTCATAATAGATTCTTTTAAAACATTAATATATGTACTAGCCTATAACTATGGATTTTTGAGAATATTAAGGAGATGGAGAACAGCCTTTAATTTCGCTACTACTAAATGTAAAAATATCTATATCACAGTTATATTCATTTACAGCTCTCCTCTAGTTTCTTTCTATCTCATGACATTTTCCAATCTCCATCAATCCAGTTTTTTAGTATTTCAAGTTTTCTTATTGTTAAGTCACCCTGATCTTTCCTTTTCTCGGTTCCTGAAAATTTATTGTTTCTCAATATTCAAAAGATTTCGTGTAATTAAATATCGAATACTCAGCCTATCTCAGATTATTGAATCACCAAATCTCACGAAGTGACCTAACTCTAGGAGTTACGTCAGTACGTGATATATATTTTTATTATTTGGAAAAAATGTAACTGTGACGTATCTCATGATCTGGTTTGCCGCAGAAATTGAAATATCTTGAGTTAGGTCTCAAGGTTCTGAAAGGGGTATTGTAAGTGTATATGCATTGTACAAGTCGAATGAATTTCTGTGTTTTTCTATCAATAAAAATGACTAATTGAATCTGATATTCATACGAATTCAATTTATATTCATGGACATATCTAAGGCCCACATTGACAAACACGTCACATAGTGGACGTATCTCACAAACATTTTTTTGTTACCATTTTTGACGATGTTTTTCGAAATTTCACCATATCATAACAACTAGTTTTAGCTTTTCCACTAATGAATAAAAAACAATGACCACCAGGAATGACCATACCTACCTTTGAAGACATCTATTTCGATGCTTGGTATTACTATCAGCAATAACCTTTCTTGGGAAAATCACGTGAGATCAATTGCTGAAAGTGCATCCCGAAAACTTGGTTTTCTGTTTCGTACCAGGAGCTATTTCACTTTCAGTCAGCTGCTTATGATCAATAAGGCACAGATTCGACCTGTCCTGGAATACTGTTCCCACAATTAGAGTGCAGCACCCAAACATATACCCTGAAACCGTTGGATTCTGTCCAAAAAAGGGCAATTCGTCTCGTGGGTGATGCCTCACTCACAAACTCACTCACTTCTCTGGAAAACCGTAGAAAAGTTGGCGATCTTGCTCTATTTTATAGATATTTTCTTGGACGATGCTCTTCTGGAATATCAACAATTGTTCCTCCCTTAGCAGTCCCGCGAGATTAACCCGTCGAGTTGAGGCTATCCCTTTTCGGGAGAACGAGAACATAAAAAAAACCTGATTTATAAGCGAATTGAGATGTTGAACATCTTTGAATTGCATGCTCTCCTGTAAAATTAAGAAAACTGAGATACGCCACTACGTGAGATGACCGTCGGAATGTTTCAAGACCAGTACATAATTTTTGTAGCAATCTTCTTGATCACCATCATCCTGTCCTCCATATCTCTGGGACTAGGAGCCAGAGTTGGCAGAAAGAGCGTCCAAGACCTAACAAACCACAAGAGAGCCTTGAGCGATTGCCGGGCCCAATCAGGAGCGACCCAATCGGACATGGACGCCATAAAAATGAAGAAAATTCCCACCACCAAGACTGGTCGCTGTCTAGTCCAGTGCATCTTCAATAGCGCCAAAATCATGGACGATGGCAGGTTCAACAAGAACGGAATGGTGATCGCTTTCACGCCTGCCCTGAAGGGGGACTTGACGAAACTGGGGAAGCTGAAGCAGCTGTCTGAGGTTTGCGAAAACGAAATCGGAACGGGGGTGCTGGAGGATTGCGAAGGTCCGAAGAAGATCGTTGAATGTGTAGCGAAGCATGGAAACGCCTATGGCTTCTCATACAGCAGCCAGAATATCTGAATGTAGTATATTAGACCGGGAGCCCACAACTTGTTTTTTGTGTCTCATTTGTTTACACTCATGAGTATAAGAACCCCTCAAATTCCACCTTCCAGTTACAGTTGTATTAAAAAAGCTGGGGTCTCGAATCATTACTTACCGTTCGGCGTATGTCGCAACGCAAGGTACTGCAATTGCAAAAAAGTTTGGGTGGACGGTGTTGCCGAACGTGTAGGGTAGATACGATGCGCAGTGGCGCTGTATACAGGGTGAATCTAGATAACACCGAAAAAATTCAAGGCGTGATTTCATCTGCTATTTTAGGAAATAAAGTTCATATAAACATGTGTCCTAACTTGCTTCGTTTTTGAGATACAGGATATCAGTATTTCCATGAAAAATCGTTTTCTTATTCATTACTCAATTGTCTTTCCAACAATTTCAATGAAACGTTGTTGTTTTGTTAATATTAATATGGAGCTTCTTCTGGTGTAATTAGATTCGAAATAACATTTCCAGTGGCGTAACAGTAGGTAAATTTATTGATATGTCATTGAACGCCACCGGTTTTTATGAGTTTCATATTTTTTTAGATTGAACAATTGAAATAACAAGTTTTCTATAATTTGTGTATTTTTGTATCTAGCTTAATTTTTGAGAAAAAAATTAAAATTCGATTTGACTCTAAATTTTAGATTGAGATTGCTCAATAACCCCAATTAGAATCATTTTGAAATGTTGGAGCTTTCTCAGTCTCCAACCATACTGAATTTTAGCACCATGAAAGCTCATACAGGGGGGCTATAAATGAAAACAATTAATACTTCCAACTTGTCAAATATGACGTAGACAAGACGTTGACATAAGTGAAAATCAATGAATTGTCCTTTGACATTGACTTCGACTTATGTCCACCCTACACGTTCGGCAACGTCGTTCACCCAATTTTTTTTTCAATTACAGTACCTTGCGACATACGCCGAATGGTAAGTAATGATTCATAGCCCGGATTTTTAATACAACTTCACCCACGCGAGCCCCACCCTTCGATCTACGATTTTTATTCGGCGACCCCATATCCGATTAGTTGAAGGTGGAATTTTTTGGGTTCTACTGCTGAGGGATAACAAATAAGACACAAAAACACAATCTGGGTTCCCAGTCTATTATGTGCAGATTGAATTAATATATCATTATCATTTGGTACCCACTAGTAGTGTGTTTTTTGTTGTTGCCGAGGTGGTTGAAATCTTTTAGGGACATCACCTGGGTCTAATCTCATATATGATAATGTAGAATGAGTTGATTCGATAAACAATCAGTATAGAGGTAGCTGCACATAGGGTTTCAAAATCCAGGGGTTGTGCTTCCCCCTGGTGGGAGGTTGAAGTTACGAGTCCGAGTGTTTTCCAGATTTTCATTTTCATATTCTATATCCCTCTGATGCAGTATTGGTGGGAGTCTAAAGAGAATACCTGTAGTATACCCAAACTAAGATACTAGATTATCAAAATGATGTTTTTATCTAGTACAGAAGGTTAGTGGTAGGGGTAGTCATCACAGTATGTGACAGAAAGAATCTTCCATCACACTGATGCAATATTGCTAGAGAATTTTGTTCAATAATAGGTGCTATTATTTTATTGCAGACCTAGTAGCACTGATGAGTTCCGATATAACCAAAATCTATGCGAAACTGTGATGATATGCGATGATGATGACTTTATAATATATATCTTGATAAAACGATCAAAAATGTGAAATATTGTTTATTTCAATGAATATCACATCCATATCTAATTTTATTATCGCTGAATCATAAAAGTTTATTGTGTGAACATTTTGGATTTTAAATCTATCTTCATAGCATCATGGCGGTTGTATATCAGAATTAAATAAAGCCATATACATGTCGAACGTTATTGTTATTTTGGATTAGTTATCAGTTCGTTTTTATCCGAATTTGTGATAAATCACGAATTCAGAAAATATAGGTACTAACAGTGTGTTTCTGGAGGTTCTCCACAAAAATAATCATTTACCACAGATTTCAAAGTTGCTAAAACGGCTCATGAGCTTCCACTTAAATTTGGTACGATAAACATCTCAAACTTCTACGCAAATGGAATGAAAGAGGTTTTAGTATGAAATTTGAAGAGTTTTCTTTTGATGAACCGGATTCAAACTTCAAAGTTGAGTTCGCACCGCATTCAAATGTGGCGATCAGGTTTGGGGGTTCTAATAGAATCAGGGTATCTTTTATAATTGTTTAGTTAGTATTCTGAAACTTGCAGGAGCAGGAGATATAATGAGAATACACACTATAACCAAGTGGTGTCATCTCCAGTTATATACACTGCTCACCAACAACCATGGAACCCACAATTGCCGTAAAATGATATAAGGAGGCAAGATAGGTTGAAAATTCTTTCAGTCCTGAAAAATCAAATATTGTCTTAGTTTTCATGGAAGCACCCCCGTATTTTGCGTAATTATTTAGGTAGGGTTCTGAAATTTGCAGAGGAAAAGGAGGGGCTGAAGATCACGTCAATCACGTAAGATACGGAAGTACTTCCATTGATAGTGAGTCAAAATTTAATTTTTCTGAACTGAAAAATGTTCAAGAAAAATATAAAAAACCAGTGAGCTGTTCCATGGCTGTCGGCGAGCAGTGTATTCCACTGAAGATGACTCCACTGGGTTATAGTGTGTATTTTCAGTATACCTTTCGCTCCTGCAAATTTCAGAATCCTAATTAAACAATTCCCAAAGATACAGGGGTGTTTCCATTAGAAGTGAGACACACTGTATATATTGCCTACCTCTTTCACTACAAATAATGGTATACTGCTAATAAAATTCAATTGCTTTCATAGTTTCGACAAGATTTGAATATCGATGATTCAGAGCATAAATAAACATGCAAAATGGCCAACTGTTTCATTATTCTTGCTCTACTATGTATGTTGGAGTACAAACTAAACATTTTTTATTGAGGTAAGTTTTGCTTATAGAATTATTTTGATCTGATGAAGAACTTTCAGGGATATCTTTCATATTGGGCGAAAGCTACTATTCTGAAACAAAAGCGAACAAGTATATAGCTTATAGACAGATGAAAAGCAATTATTTCATTTTGAAGTTACTTCAATCCGAGCTTCAATTCTCATACATATTATAGAAACTCTTGAAACTTTTTGTTTTCAGAAAAACTTATGTTTGCACCATGAAAAGTGGGAGCAAAAAATTTGCAAAAATTCATGAAATATCCTCCTGAGAGATATAAAAAACAAACGTATATTGCATAAGTTTCTCATGCTTTTTCCTTCATGTTCTGAGGGAAAATATTGTCCGCCGCCATCAAATTCCCTTTATCTCCGTATATCCCGGTATCCAGACTCTAGTAATCGAGTGATCCGGAGCTGGAGCCAGATTCGAACATCTGAGCTCCAGGAGACCAGGTGGCTCGACTCCGGGCTTTTACCGGAACGTATCGCCGGAGTGCAATCCGCAGTCCGATGCAGGTCCGTTCCGTCTAAATCACCGGACGCTTTAATCTTTTCTCTCTGGCATAATTCGATTTTCCTCTTCCCTTTACGAGTTTATTATCCGATTGTGTTTCGGCACTACACCAAGTGAGTAAAGATTACTCGTGTACAACAGTGTGGGAATGATTGATCTCCACAACAGCACAACTTTGCCAAGTAGCGAAACGATGATGATGTACAGTACTACCCATATAATTCGTAATAACTCTTGGTCGAATTCAAATGTTTTTCATTATTCCAGATTTTTTTAGGATGTTCTCTCCTAGTCTCTATAAAATGAAAATATGACTACTATTTCAATATACGTGTAGTGAGGACAAATCAGATGATTTGCACCAAAATGTCACAGCATTTAAAGAATTTTGTTCCTATCGGACAGCCTAGAAGGAAAATTCACTAGCTTGTCAGTGACAATTTGAATTGAAAAAGGTTTGGAGGAGGGAAATAAAGGTCTATAGAAAAAATATCAAATTTTTACTTATCTTTGGACGTTTTGGGAACGAGTCTGCTCCCGTTTTCAACATAAAAAATGGATTTTTTGTATGGCGAATTCATATTGTCCTGACACTTTTCGGTTCTCAGTGACAATTGGTGCCGATGGAAACCAAATGAGATACAAGATGTTTTCATAAATTGATCTTGAATTTATCATTTTCATTTTCAGATTTCAGTAGTGAATACCATGTTCTATCTATATCAACTGAAAAAGAAGCAATGCTATTGTCTCCGTTCAGAAGAATGCAAGCAGATTCCTTGATTTTTCTCATCTGGTTGTTATCTTCTTCTCCAATGATTTTAATATTATTCCATACTCTGCCATATGTCCATCTTCAGTAAGGACGAAGGATTGATTGCACTTCACATATAAACAAAAAAAATCGAGAAAAATGTACAGTTTGTAACTTGAAATATGAAGTTGGGGTGGTTTTTCAGGGGTAGTTTGACAGAAGTTGACTTTGACACAATGCCTTCAAAGTCATCATGGTTTGACAAGACTGTAATTTTTTGTAATTTTTTCCAAGCAACATAACTGAAATATTGGCTGTATATATGGAAAGATCTGGGACACCCGGTATATATAATGCATATATGAAATTTTCAAAAATCCTCTGCTACGCTCGCGCTCAAAATACTCGTAATATACTATTATTGTTACTTACACATAATATGATTGGTCGAAAGGGACAAGATGGAGGAAAATGGTAAGTCAGATTAATTGAATTCAATGTGAACAAGGTTTCATCAAGGACCATGCAATTTGTTTGTTTGGCACTGGTAAGTCAGATTAATTAAAATCAATGTAAACAAGGTTTTATCAAGGACCATGCAATTTTATCATATGTAATACTACAAGAGATAATATTTTGCCGAAAATATTTGACGATTGTTATGAGAGCTTGTTGTCTGATTCGCGAATGACAGGTTATCAAAACTTGCGAACCGTAGGCAAAAAGTCGATGTCATGAGTGAAATTGAAGCAGCTAGCTGGAGTACGTCAATCGACGAATATTTCCAGAAAAAAATAGCATCACGAGTTGCATGCGTATGAATATTTCATGATTGAGACAGTAAATGAGCGCCTCGCGATAGTTGCGCACACTGCATCCGTATAATTCTTGCTTCCAACATAATTGACGTTATTATAAATGTCAAAAATTGTATCGCTAAAAAACGAGGTTAGTTGGTCACGTGTGGGCCAATTCGGCTTCTGTATTGGCAAGTCTGATAAATTTTAGTTAACTAAAAAAATCACTGGAATACGCACTGAGGAAAATTGTGCTATTAGAGTTTTTGCTGAGATATTTCATGCTACCATTACAAGAAATCATATTACCGTTATGAATTTTCGAATTGAAGCAGCACCTTCAAATCCTATGATAGCAATAACGACTTTGCTGAAAGTGAATTTCCTGCCACAGGA